AAAAAAAAAAAAAAAAAAAGCATAGTACATGAAAATATTTTTTAATATGTGTGGTAATGTACATGAATGTTAGAAATGGAAAGAGGTCAGGATAATAAGTATGGTTGTTGCTAAAGGTTGTTGTAGTTCACCAATATGTTCTCCAACAGAGACATGAGACTAAGCAACACTCACTCACCAATTTCCTCACAGTTCGAAAGTGAACAATATCATCTTTGTTCTTACCAAAGGGACAGGATTCTAAGTCCTGGAGGCAGTGAATACTCGTGGATAGAGGGCATACCTCCTGTTTTGGGGTCAGACTTTGGCTGTGACTTTGTCTCACCCTCTTCCTAGCTTTGTGACCATGGGCATTAGCAAGAGTGCTCATTTCTTTGTTTCCTGCATCTCCACCAATTATATCATTTATTTGCCTCTTTGTCAGTCTTAGGTAGAAAAATGACATATTATTGTTGTTTTATATTTGCATCTGTTTGATTATTAGGGAAGGTGAATATCTTTTATGTATTAGTCAGTTTTAATTTCTGTTTTGAATGTTTGGGTTTCGAGGAGCCCCAATAAATAGAACCTCCCTTTCTTCAGTGAACCAATTAGATAAATTGATATAAAACAAATGGAGTTGCAGATGGAAGCCAAAATGTCAACATTGGTACAAGGGGAAGAGGAAGTTGCAGGGTATTGATTATTGTGAGAATCAAATAGGCCCGTTTATTTATTTCTTATTTTATTTTGAGATGGAGTCTTACTCTGTCACCCGGGCTAGAGTGCAGTATTATTCTACACAAAAATAATAGAAAAATGTGAACATAAAGGGAATGACATATAGGGACACAAATATAAATGTAAGGCCTTCTGAACAAAAAGAATGTATTTTGTTGCCAATTTCAGGATATTCAGATACATACATATCTCTTTAAGGATACAGTGGCGCAGTCTCGGCTCATTGTAACCTCTGCCTTTTGGATTCAAGCAATTCTCACACCTCAGGCCCCCAACTAGCTGGGATTATAGGCACCCACCACCCCGCCTGGGTAATTTTTGTATTTTTGGTAGAGACAGGGTTTCACCATGTTGGCCAGTCTGGTCTGGAACTACTGACCTCAAGTGATCCGCCCACCTCAGCCTCCCAAAGTGCTGGGATTAAAAGCCTGATAACAGAACTCCAAATTTAAGCAAACCCACCCAAATAGCCTAGAGTTTTGTAGTTGTACAGGGAAGGAAAAAGATTCCTGTGCCGGCACTGTATAAGCTTGCTCTCAAGGAAGTAAAGATTAGGAGTGGGGAAAAATTATTCTCCCAGAACATTGTGAATTGTCTATTTATGTCTTTTGTCCATTTTTACCCTACCATTTATTTCTTATTAATATGTAAGAGCTACTTTAGCGATATGTTTGCATTAAAAACAGTTTTGTCAAGTTTGTTCTTATATTTTCAAATTTGATTTATTGTGTTTTTACCAATAAAAATATTTTTGTTGACAATTTCAGGATATTCAGATACGTATATATCTCTTTAAAGATTTTGGTTGATGTTTTATATTTAGAAATGATTTTAATTGAAAGAAACGATGAAACTTTCTGAAAGATAAATGAGAAGACCTGAATAAAAAGAGAGATATACATCATGTGCCAGAGCCAGAAGAATTAAAATTTCGGGGAATTATTTATCCACAAAAAACATATTAATTCATTTCAGTACAAATAAGGATGTTGGGGGGTTTTTAATAGAGCTTGATCAGTTGGATCTTGAAATCGTTTTTAGAAATTAGATGCCGAAACAGGCAAGAAAAATATGTAAAAGATTTTCTTTACTGAGTCTTTATTATATGATAAAGGCATTTCTACCTATTTTTTCCAGAAAATCACCCACTTTTGTGGTTTGAATGTAAATTAAACAGACACGTGTTGCCATTCCACTTTCAATTGCTTTAAAAATCATAATCTTTTAGCTTTAAGGGAATTTCAGTTTAACTTGGTGACTTTCTTCCCTTTGAGGGAAAGGCCCCCTGCTAGTCCCGTCACTGGGAAGGGGCGGAGCGTCGTCGGAGCCGCTTCGAAGGGAGCTGTACCCGGCCAGTCTTGGGGGAGGGGTAGCATTTCACGAGGCTGCAGCTGACGAGAAGCTTCAAGGTAATGGCTGTCTTAAAGCCAGTTATTTTCTGGGAATTTCTTCGGGCATTGGTGTTAAAGTAAAAAAAAAGATATATTGTTGACTGAGAGAGGTGGGAATAGAATATGGTTTTGTTTGAATTGCTGTTATTGGAACGGAATTAATCCTCTGGAATTTTTGTTTCGCCCGATATTTATAAAGTCGTCCGTGTGGGAGTGGGCTATCAGATTACAGCTTCTAAATTAAGACTTCGGTGAGACGTGCTGTTCATGTTAATTTTTTACGTGGCACTCCATATTTCTATTTTTGTTACAGATTTTATTATATTTTGACTTAAATACGTATTACTCTACACAAAAATGATAGAAAAATGTAAACATATAAAGGGAATGAAATATAGGGACACAAATATAAATGTACATGAACGTGGAAAGGCATTCAGATATGCCGTCGAGTGATAACACTTGTAAAGATGTATATTCGTTTTCCTTAGGAAGAGAAGTAGACTCCCGAGTTAACAGTCAGCATCTCTGAGTGTTCATTTATGAGTGTTCAGATTACAGAGGATTTTTTAAAATATATTTTTAACTGGTTTCAGCATTTTTAGAATTGTTTTTATTCGTGCTCATTTTTGTAATTAGAAGAGCAAACTAAAGCCAAAGCAGTATACCCATTTTGTTTCAAATACGTAAACACACATAGACACCACAGACACGCTCCCATACCCCCTCGTCTTTTGCCAATAGTGGAATTTTTCCTGGACCTGATCAAGTGGGTAGCCTGGTTGCTGTTTCAACTACAGCCCCGCATGTGTCCTTCCTGTAACCCATCTTTTCAGAACCACTTTTCTGTATCATCTAAGTTTAAGAGTGAGAAATGGACAGGATTTGGTTTATTTCTATAAACAGTTTTAAAAGTATTATGTAGTGTGATGCATGTTATATAGCTGACAAATGAAAATATGAACTTGTAGTGATTTGAAAAGATGTCTGAGAAGTAAAAAGAGCAAACTGCAGAATGGTAAGCACCATATTACTTAAACATAAAAGACTACATTAATACATGTGTACGTAAAAGTCATTTAAACATAAAAGACTACATTAATCCACATGTAACCAAATCACAAAAAAATATAAACCAGCATGCTAATTGAATTATTTGTGTAGTTGAAGAGCTAGGGCAGGCTTCACTATCAGTATTTTTTAAAAAAATTATTAATACATATTTAGCCCTTTTTTTTTAACAAAATTAGAAAAAAGATTGCGGTAAAATGTTGCAAAGGTGGGGGAAAATTTCATTTGACGCAATTCACTAAAAAATCACATTGAAAATACTTATTAGTATGGAAAAATGTTTAAACCATGAGCTTAAACAGGACAAAAAGCTGATTTGAAATCATGTGCATTCATATGTTTATGTAAAGAAAAACTATGCAAAGATATACAGGAAATAATAATGTCTTTCCATAATTATACTTTCTTTTTATATATCTTTCTCATATTTTCAACTTTCAGTAACCACGATCCGACCATTGGAGATGAAGACATTCAGATTCCATTTTTAATATAATGCATAACAAAACTAAATTTGAGCATGGTATATTCTAGAAGCCTGAGAAACCTGCTTGTTGGCAGGATGTAGTTCCCACCATTCTCCCACAAGGATGTTGTAGTAACAGTTCTGCTTCTTGTCACAAGATGGCGCTTGCAAAATATCCTAAATTTTGTGGAGACAACTATTTTTATGAATTGAGCAAACAAAGCTGTGAAATGTATTTTATTAGCAGACTATGAGACAGCATGTACAATGTGATTCAAATTCCCCTCAAAAAAATTGTATGTGTATAAAATAAAAAGCCCCACCCAAGAACTGATGTGAGGACTCAAACAGAAATCATAAAAAATGCTGCTGCATAGAGTCTGGCCCAAAGTAGACACCAGTCAATTGTCCATTCCGTCCTCTCCTTTCTCCACCTTATAATTTTCTGAACGATATTATTTTAGCATAAGCCAAATAACGTAACTGACAAAGAGAGCATTTCATATTGTAAGAACATGCACAAGTAGATGACATCTGCACCACAGATGAAATTTCGCCTCATTCCTGTGTTTTAGAATAACATGCCTGTTAGAATTTAGGTAGGGAAATTTATTTATGCCTCTTCCATTTCGTTGGTTTGATTCTCTGCCTTTATCAGAGATGCACTTGACATGGGAAATCTGCATGTGATGCCAGTTGAGCCTCAGAAAAACAGTGCAACCACAGACATGCCAAGGAGGTTAGGGCCCTGCCGGACAAGCAGTTGGAGTAAGAATTAAGACAGCTGGATCTCAGCACCAGACCCACTAGTATCTATGTGACAATGGGTAAGGTTTTTTCCATTTCACAAAACATTTCATGGTAACAACATTCTAAGTTGAGAATATGGAATACAAGTGATTTCACTCTGGCTCAGTAGCCATAACATTTTAACATTTTAAGTTAAAAGCCACAAATTTTAATGTTGGGAAAGAAATATATGCTAAACTCCTGTAGGAAAAGTATACAAGCAGTCATAATGATGTCTAATTATGGAAGACTTGGATGTCCCAGCGATCTGCCTGACTCTTAAAAATCCTTAAAAACAGTCCTTTCCAGTGGGTAGCCAGGACACCCATTGTGAATCTCTGACTTCTAAGCTTATTCTCTTAACAAGGTCGCTGTCTGGATTAGTCTACGGGATGCAGACTTCCAGTATCTGTGTCTGGCTCCCTTGGGTAGACAGGGAAGTGCTGTTAGCTTAGTAGAGGCTAAAGAGGATTCCGCTAGAATAAACTTTGAGAGGCTCCAAAGTACAAAAATATTCAATAACATATGTCCCCAACATATTCCCTAGTTTCCCTGGACATCTCCCACCACCCACTCATACACACATACATTCATTCCTTAGGTGTAATAGCTATAAGAAGGACTACAAACTGGAGTCTTATGGAACTACTCCTCTTTTCTTAGATTTTTAAATATTTTCCCCCAACCACAGTGTTTGTTTGTCTTATGCACAGTCTTTATTCATCTTTTGTCTTTTTCATTTTCATCATCCATCTTCCTTCTCCTTTGAGAGAAGAAATCCCTTTGCTTATTCTTTTTTTTTCTTTGCCTTTCCTTTTAATGTATACACTCTAGTATTGTCTATTTGAAAGTACTTACTCAAGCTTCCTTGTGAGTTTTCAGGGAGGCATGAAAAAGCCACAGAAGAAGAAAACTGTTTAGTAGCCCTAAGGCAACAGAGGCCTCTAAAACCACTGCTTTTCTAGTTAAACCAGAAAAACACAGACCAGCAACCTAAGGAATTTTGTTAGATGATTGAAAGTTCACTGATTTCTAACCTGTATCCACATAATAATTCAGATCTATGGTTTATTTGAAGCCTTTTTTTTCTTATTGCCTTCTTTTCTATGTCCATATCTACCTCTTGCTTCACACTTAAACTGTCACTGAACTTTAAAAAATTATTCTAAACTTGTAATATGTTTTGATATCTGGTGGCACCAGTAGTTGTCTCTCTAGTCCACTATTAAGGTTAGAACTGGGTCCTAAACCCCTGTCTCTACATCTGTTTGTGAATTTGGAATACGTAACAGCCTTGTCATAATACTTGCCTGAGGAACTCTGAGGTGTAGACATTGGATCTTTAACAGTCTCTCACATCTCCTTACTAAAGAACTGATAATTACCTTTATTTAGAATGGTGGGAGGAATAATTTTTGTCCTGTCTGGTTCTTTTTCTGTGGATTTCTCAGAGAATGGTGGGGCTAGGGGAGGACTCCTTTTTTCTTAAAATTCCCCAGGGCAAACCCCAGATAGGTCTTCCTTCTTGCTTGTTTGTGCCAGAAAGGACACTGCAGTTTAGTCTGTCTACTGGAATATGCACAGTGCAGTAGAGCTTTGTTTGTCTATGCACTGTAATGATGGGGTTGTGAGGTCCTCGTCAAACTTGTTTCTATTTTATTCCTTTTTAAAATATTTCTCATTCCATCACCCTGTGTCTTGACTTCTAATAGTTTTATTCATTGGCATGTGTAAGTTTTGCCTGGGAAAACCTACACATTGCCTTGGAAGTACAAAATCTCCAATGTGGCAGGTTTATCCCTCTGTGAACTCTAAGTCACTGATGGTAATTCTTTTTTATTCATATACATTTTACCAGGGATTATGGGGACTCTTTTATCGTGGCAGTGAATAACTATATCTGACTTACCTTTTTCTATACCTGGGATGCTTGTTATTAGTAAGGTTTTCCTGATGTTCTTCTTCTTCAGGTGGGTTGATATTCAGCCAGTTGACATTAAAAAGATTGAACTCTTTGTTTAGAGAGAGATTCAGTTGTTACTTGTCTGTACTTCTGCCTTTGGGGTCATTGAATATTTTGAGTATCTGTGAAATATCTAAGATTCCTTGTTTACCAATGTCTGTGGCTCCCTCATGGTCTTTGGGAGTGTTCTAACTGGACTATCTATACTCGTTATATGAACCTTATTCACTAAAATATTGATATTTATTTATTTTATGACCACTCCATTTTCCTGTCATATGTTACTTAGTTTCTGCTTTTAACTGGGGACATATTCTTAACTAGATCACTATTTCCAGATTGCAGCATTTTGTCTTCTACTTCTTTCTTCCTCCATATTTCCTTACTTTCTTCCTCTATTTCCATTCATATGGTTTAGTGGCATGTGATAACTTCAGTGTGGTTAAAGGCTCTGCCAATGGGGATAAATTTCATGGACTGTACAATGCTGATGTCATCTGGTTTCTTGACATATGTCCTGTGCTAACTAACTCTCAATGAAAGATTTATGTAGTGAAGACATGTATTTAAAGAAAGTTATATAACTGCATCAAAGTCAAGTGTCTTAGATGCTGCCGCCCCCTGCTTTAAAGCAAATTCAGAAGGAGAAGTTAATAAAAATTAATAAAAGAAATCAAAGTAATTTACATTTTTAACATATTATTTCTGCACTACAGAGGATATTTTTAC